CCAGTGCCACCCCTATGTGGCCACAGCCTCCTCCTTCCTGCTACCCTGCAAAATCTTCTCTCTACTCAGCTCACACATACCATGTGCCCTGAGGCTGGAGGCTCTGTCAGTGTAAGACATAGTAGTCACCAACTCCTTCCTCCTCCCCTGTGCTGAGAACTGCAGCTAGGGCCTTCTCCTTGAGCTACACCTCTACCCTTTGTTTATTTTGCATTTTGAGACAGGGTCTTGTTAAGTTGGTAAATTGCCCAGATGGAGCTTGAGCTTGCAGTTGTCCTGCCTCGGCCTCCTAGAGTGCTGGGATAACAGGTGTGCACTACTACACCTGGGACTGAGTCTCATTTTCAAAATCTGAAGGCACCCTGGGTTGCCAAGCTCATTGCTGATAGAGAAAAAGACACTGCGGGGATTCTGCCTCTGAGTGGCTTTGGATCCTTGTCCCTCCGTCCCTAGGACCTCAGCCCTCTGACCTATAAAATTAGAAAAGGAGACCCAGTACTTTCTGAAGCTGCTGCTGATCCCAAAAGACAGCAGCTCTGTATTTTCTGATCATCTCTGTGACCGTTTTTGCACACTTCTTGAAATCTTTGGGCTATAAAAAGTTCTTTCCCTGTTACTGGTTTCCCTGTATAGTTCAGGTGAGGTGACGCATCTGTGTCTTGTTGACACCTCCTTAAACAGCCCCCCTGTATTCTCTCCTATAAAAATGTCATGAATGAACTGCAAACCCCTAAATCACCCACTAAATGCTGATGCTGCAACCTGGAGCCTGTCGAAACACCCTAAATCAAGCCTGTTCTTTACAGAAGAGATATCTGACTTAACCGAGCAGATTGCAGAAACCGGCAAGAACCTTCAGGAAGTAGAAAAGACCAAGAAGCAAGTGGAGCAGGAGAAGTCTGATCTCCAGGCTGCCTTAGAAGAGGTGGAGGCAAGTGTCCTTCCTGAGCATGGCCCTCAGAAGGGCAGGGAAACAGGGAACTGAAAGAGGCAGCCGTTGCCCATCCAGAAGGGCCCTTCCTGCCACCAGGCACCCTCTCCATTGGGAAGAACATCCAGCCATCCCTGTGGTCCTAAAAGCTCTGTACTCTGCCCCTTATCTCCTGGGACCCAATAGCACACATTTCCTTTTGAGAGTAAACACATATATCTATTACATCATCAATATCTTTTTAGGAAACAAACAAACAAAAAAATCAATCACCAAACATCCTGAAAACCAGCTTAAAATCCTTCAGTTAATGCTTAACTTGGATTCACCCCTGGCATTCTTGGCTATGGGGGATCCTATATAATCAAAAGAGATCCAGGGTCCCTTGGTGTAGTCATCAGCCAGGGTCATGGAACACAGTTGGCTGAGGGGCTCCAGGGAAAATCTGAACACATGGTAGTAAGAGAGCAAATCTCCTGTCAGTATGGAGAATGGGTTAGTTCCTAAATTATATTTACTATTAAAATACAGGTTCTCCATAGGACATTTACTATTTCAAAAGATGCTCCTTCAAGATAGGAGTATTTGTTAAGACAGGATACAAAGATTTAGTCCCTGTTTTGTCACAATTAGGGACACTTCGGAGCAAGTCAAACATGCAACCTCTAAGTAATGTTCTCTTCCTCTGTAAAATAGGTATAAAAATGTGTGAAATACCCATTTTATCATGGGGGGGCGTGAAAACCTGCACCAAAATGGTGATGCCTGTGTCACTCCAGTCACTCCTTTTCCTTCATCAGGGTTCTTTGGAACATGAGGAGAGTAAAATCTTGCGCGTCCAGCTAGAGCTCAGCCAGGTGAAATCTGAGCTGGACCGCAAGGTCATTGAGAAGGATGAGGAGATCGAGCACCTCAAGAGAAATGGCCAGCGGGCAGCAGAGGCCATGCAGAGCGTGCTGGAGGCTGAAATCCGCAGCCGGAACGATGCCCTCAGGCTGAAGAAGAAGATGGAGGGGGATCTCAACGAGATGGAGATTCAGCTGGGCCATTCCAACCGCCAGGTGGCGGAGACTCAGAAACACCTGCGCACGGTGCAGGGGCAGCTTAAGGTGAGCCCTGGCCGCTCCCACAGAGCATGCGGACCTCAGCCCGCCCTGCAGCTTGGGCCTCACTCCTGATTCTCCCAAAGGATTCCCAGCTGCACCTGGACGATGCCCTGAGGAGCAACGAAGACCTCAAGGAGCAGCTGGCCATTGTGGAGCGCAGAAACGGCCTGCTGCTGGAGGAGCTGGAAGAAATGAAAGTGGCCCTGGAGCAGACCGAGCGAACCCGCAGGCTGTCGGAGCAGGAGCTGCTGGATGCCAGCGACCGAGTGCAACTGCTGCACACGCAGGTGCGTCTGCTCTTGCTGGCCCAGAGTCCATCCTAGGTAGGTAGGGCCTCCTGCATCGCCAGGGGCCTCTGCTCCCCTCAGGTGAGCCCACATTTAATTAAAATTAAATGATATTCAGAAAAGTAACTAATTCAAAATTAAATATTTCAAAATAATATTGAAAAATTAAATAGTGAGTCCAACTAAGAGGCCAGAATGTAGTGGATCATATGTATGAATCTGTGATCAATTCAGAGCACTCAGACAGTATTTGGTTAGGTTCATATATACAAAAATATCAACTAAGAAAAGGCTTTCATGATAGTAAAGAATTACTAAGAATAAAACATAACAAAAGTACTGGAAAAGGGGCCGGGGAGATGGCTCAGTAGAATAAGCGCTTCCCTGGCAAGCGCAAGGGCCTGAGTTCAATCCCTGGTTCTGCCAAAAAAAAAAAAAAAAAAAAAGTACTGGAATGGCAAATATATGACCAGCACTTCTAACAATTTGAGGATAGGATATCACACAAAGTTCTAGTATGTGGTGGACGTGGACGGTGTCCATGACATTTCCTGGTAGCCAGGTGTCACTCATGAAACTGAGCTGCTGCTATTTCCTTGATATCTACCCTGTAGACCTAGACAGAATCATGACCCATAGCATGCAGGAGAAGTCCATGTGTAGAGTATGCTGATGGAAATACTTTGCTGCTGTATATAAAAGAGTAATTGAAAGAATGTTATATTTCTCTTTTCCTCGTGTGTTTGTTTGCCCTATTTGGTGGGTTTTTTCCATTCTCATTCATGGAGTTATGGTCATTTTGATCACTCTCTAGAATATCTTTTAGTAGTCTGCGTAAGGTAGGTTTTGTCATCATGAAATTCTTTAGTTGTTCTTTGTCATGGAAGTATTTCACCTCTCCATTAAACTTGAAAGAGTTTTGCGGGGTATATCAATCTGGGTTGGAATTTGTTTTCTTGCAAGACTTGAAGTACTTTGCTCCATGCTCTTCTTGACCTGTTGGCTTGTGAAGAGAAATCTACCATTATTCTGATGGGTTTTCCTTTAAATGTGATCTGTTTCTTTTCTCTAGCAGCTTTCAGTATACTGTTCCTGTGCTGAATTTCTGAGATCTTGATTATTATATGTGTGGGTGTGGCTTTAATTGGGTTGTTGTTATTTGGAGTTCTATACACTTCGGTTACCTGAATATAAGATTGTTGCCCCATATTTGGGAAATTGTCTGCTACTACTTCTGCCCATCTTATTTTAATATCATTCCTATTGACTCCTTCCTCATTAATGCCTGTTAGTCTTATGTTGTTCATCTTTACATTGTCCTGCAAATTTTGAATTATTTTTTCCTGCAGCCTAGTTGTTTTTAAGAGATGTTTTCTTACTTTTTCACTAGCTCCAATGGTGTCTTTAAAGTCTGAAAGTCTATTTTCACTTTCATTCAAATGGTTTTGCCAGCTTGTGATTGAGGTTTTAATTTTCTGTATAGCACGTTGGATCTGCTCCATGCATTCCATTTATTTCCTGTATTGCTCATTCAAGGATTCCATCATTTTTCTATTCTGCTCTATTTTTTTTAATCAGTGTCTTCTTTAGAAGCACTTAGTACTTCTTTCATTATAGTTATCATTTCTTTTTTTACTTCAGAAATTATTTCTGATCTGATTTCCTCTATACCCTTCTGAAATTGTTTCTTTACTTCAGATGCTATTATTTCAGAGATTTCAGGTGTGTGATTTTCAATTTCTTCTATGCTGATGTCTCCTGCATGTGTTCTGGGTGGACTCGGGGCCTGAGAATGCATTTTTCCCCTTCTCTTTGTCATTTTGTATAGCACTGTCTTCTTACCTTCAGTGTAGCGCTTTGGTGCAGTTGTTACCTTAGCACCAGGTCTGGATCTACCAAGTTCAAACTCATCCAGGTGGGTGTGGCTTGGGTCTGGTTGCTGTGCTCTACCTCTTCCTGCTGCAGCCCTTGGACGTGAATCCACTGTGCCACTTTGGCAAGATGTTCTGCTCTTGGATCAGCTGGGTGGGTCTTGCCTCTAGTCTCTCTGCAGGGAGTTCTGCTTCAGGGTTCCACACAAGGCCTGTCTGATGGAGGAAGTTCCACACACATGCCTGGCCTGGAATGAGGATCTAGTGAACTGACAGGCAGTCCCATTCACAGGCTGTGCCTGGGTGCTGGCTGGAATGAGGATCCAGAAGGCCCCTGGTGGTCCTACTCACACGTTGGGCCTGCACACTGGCTGGAATGAGGATCCAGCGGGCCCCAGGTGGTCCCACTCACACACTAGGCCTAGGTGCTGGTTGGAGTGAGGATTCAGAGGGCCCCTGGTGGTCCCACTCACATGCTGGGCCTGCGTGCTTAGCCCTGAATATTTGAAGCTCTATCTTTATCGTTTGCTCAATTTTGTAATATACATTCTTGGATCTGCTTCAAGACTTTTTGTTTGGTCAAGCATAATGCAGTACCTAGCAGAATAGAATAAGATTATGATTTACTTAACCCCCAAACCTCTCTCTTCCTATTGTCTTAAGTGCGCAAATAAAATCTGATATCTATTTTTTTTCTTGTAGAACACAAGCTTGATAAATACAAAGAAAAAACTGGAGGCTGACTTGGCTCAGTGCCAGGCAGAGGTGGAGAACTCTATCCAGGAGTCCAGAAATGCAGAGGAGAAAGCCAAGAAGGCCATTACAGATGTAAGCATTGTTGGTACTCCCGGAGATGGTATTCAGAGATGAGAAAGGAAGCTTCCAAGCCAGGGCATACCAGATCAGATACATCTCTTTATAAGTGCAGTCAGTTATCTGTAACTGCTTGCGGAGATATCACAAGAGGTACAGTGATTACAGAGGCTAACTGGGACACAAAGACTGGCCCAGGAGAAGAGGGGCTTAATATCATGCTCAAAACCAGTGTTAACAGTGTATTCCATTTCACCGGGCTTGGGATGGGTAGACAGTCCACTAATACATCCTGTGAATGTAACCAGGCCGCCATGATGGCCGAGGAGCTGAAGAAGGAGCAGGACACCAGTGCCCACCTGGAGCGGATGAAGAAGAACCTGGAGCAGACGGTGAAGGACCTGCAGCACCGTCTGGATGAGGCCGAGCAGCTGGCGCTGAAGGGTGGCAAGAAGCAGATCCAGAAGCTGGAGGCCAGGGTGGGTGTTTTGAGAAGACTCTGATACTTGCACACAGAACCGCAATCCAGAAATTTAAGTGGTGGGAAAGTGGTCACTGCTTGACTAGACTGCAAAGCAGGATGGTTTTTATTTTTTTTATTTTTATTTATTTATTTGCGGAACCAGGGATTGAACTCAGGCCCTTGCGCTTGCCAGGGAAGTGCTTATTCCACTGAGCCATCTCCCCGGCCCGAGCAGGATGGTTTTTAATGTTCACTTTCTGTCTTTCATGTGAATTTATACTACACACCTAAGTGGCAGAAATATATTTGCAATCATAAAATCATCCATTTTGGTGTAATTTACATGTTGGACCAATCTTCACTTTGATAAACAATGGCCCATCCAGCATAAAATCTATAGCTTCTTTCTGTTTTCCACAGCAGGCCTCGTTCTCTTCCCCATCTCTAAATGTGATCTGCAGTCCTGGGATGTTTCCCCTCCACCCTGAAAGGAAGGCAATCGCTGCTTTTTCCTCCAAGCTAACACATCAGAAATGTTTAATCTTCCAATGTGGAAGGTCTGCTTGTTCTTTATCTAGAAGCATAGCTTGTACTTGCTCAGTTTCTTTTCTGACTGTTCCCTTCATTTTCTCTGCTCCTCAGTTTTCCCTTTAGATCTGTGATGGCTTCTTTTAATTATTTTTTAAAAATGGGCTGTGCTAGCAATTGACATTTTAGAGAAGGGCTACATGGATGGGATAATTAGGATGTCTTTGTTGTCTCAGGGAGACAGGACATGAAAGAGCTAGAGGGGTGAAGGACAAAGAGAAAAATAGAAAGAAACAACTTTTCCCAGCAGAAAAGCCCCGAAATTCAGTCATTCTTCCTACTAGCCTCTGTAGAATGTGACCACCAGGCACATAATTCCTTTAAATATGAAGGGGATTTTTAAAGTTAAAAACAACAAAATCATAGACACATGAAGAAGAAAAATAAACACCAGGGAAGTTAGAACTCCCCTCCAGAAAAAAAAAAAAATCCCTTCAATGCTTATTTTCAGTCATTCCAAGTCCTGTTCATGAAAATGAGTTTAGGCTGGCACTTTTCATGGACACCTCCCACAGGGAGCTACACTTCATGATTCCCTCCAATGCTACCTTCCTATGGTTTTCTGCTTCCTAAGTTGGCAGGGAGCCCTCAGCCACCACCTATCCCTGCATTTTAAGGCACCTTGATTATTCTCCAATTCCAGCTCCCCAATTATATGAGTTCTATCAACCTTATAAAAGCCTAGAGACAGGCTGGGGAGATCGCTCAGTGGAATAAGTGCTTGCCTGGCAAGCACAAGGTCCTGAGTTTGATCCCTGGTACCACAAAAGAAAAAAAGCCTACAGAGCAATCCAGGGAGTTGGGATAGGGTATGGTTGTTTTTTGTTTTGGTCTTTGTTTTGGGGTTTTGTTTTTGTTTTTGTTTTGGGGGGATTGGCTTTTTTTTTTTTTTTTTTGAGATGCAATGTGGTGTAGGCTGGCCTTGAACTTGCATATATAGCGTAGGCTGGCCTTGAACTCACAACGATTCTCCTCCTACCTGAGCCTTCTGAGTGCTGGGAGCACAGACATGCACCACTATACTTGGCTGGAGTATTTTATAAGACCATATAGATGACAATTTTCCAGGTGCATGAATGGAGGATGGGAATCTTTTTTGGAATGGTTCCCAGAATCTATGTTCACTGGGACCTCTCCAAGTTGACCTCATGAGTCTCCAAACCTGGAATCACCCCTTCTGCAGTCACAAAGATTCTCACTGTGTTGTGAAGTTGGAACCACAGTTGTTGACCTCCAGTTGCAGTGGCTGCCCTCTTCAAGACTTCAGAAAAGGCAGCAGCAACTATGCATCCACAATACCTATGCGGTGTTCTATCCTTCTAAAAATATTTTCACGTTGGAACTGTAGTTCAGTGGTAGAGCACTGGCTTAGCATGCACAAAGCCCTGTGTTCAACCTCCAGCACTGCAAAGGTAATTTTAAAAACTACTATTACACACTTTATCTTATTCCACCCCCACATTTGTGGTAGGATGGGTAGGAGTGGTCAGCCCTGTCCTAGGTGCTGATTCTTATGTCAGTGATGGGGACTGACTCACTCTGGATCTATAACTGGGCCTGCAGTGTGAACGTACTTTTGGCAGCTCCATGTCCCCTCCTGCCTTGCTCTCTCAGGAATCAGATCACCATGAGCAATCGTGCAGGTTTCAGCCTTGCTGTGCTTGTTACACTATGTGACGCCAAAGGAAGAAGCTTTTTTGCCAGATCTGACCCAGCAGCCAGACTCTCTGCACCTAGGGCTGCTTCTGCTCAAAGAGGGCAACTCATTTGAATGTGCACAGCAGGAATGAGCAGTGGCCTGGTGAACAGAGCATGACCTTGGAGCCCCAGGAAGAGACTTCTTAATGAATCCTGTGTTCACCCTAAAATGACCTGTGGGCAAGTGCAGGAGAGGACCTTGGGAACTCTGACCTGACTTCTGTATTCTCTTCACCCAGGTGCGGGAGTTAGAAACTGAGTTAGATGCTGAGCAGAAAAGGGGAGCTGAAGCTCTGAAGGGGGCCCACAAATATGAACGCAAAGTCAAGGAAATGACCTACCAGGTAGAGGTTTCCTCTATGAATGATACATAGACCAAGCCCCGCCAGCAGCAGTCACAGATTTATGGGTCGGTCCTTCTCACCAATGTTCTGTTCATAGGCTGAGGAGGACCGCAAGAATATCCTCCGGCTCCAGGACCTGGTGGACAAGCTGCAGGCCAAAGTGAAGTCTTACAAACGGCAGGCAGAGGAGGCGGTGAGTTCAGGGGTTCCCCGGGTTCTCGCACCCACCTGGGTGTCCCCACAAGCCCTGAACCACAGCAGGTGCCGGGTTAGTAGCATCCTCAGAGCCTCAGAGCTGAGTCTGCACTTGCAGGTATAAAGACAGAGATATCTGCCCTCTTCTTTTCCCTGGTTTGTGTTAAACAAACTTTCCCCACCTCTGCCTGCTCTGTGGCCTCTCATTTTACCCCACTTGGCCAGGCTACCTCTAACCCCTTCATTTGACCCCCACCTACCTCACTGTATCTCACCCCACCCTGACTCGCTCCATCCACACCAGACTCACTCCATCCACACCAGACCTACTTAGCCCATGCTTCTGGCCTTGTATCACCCAACTATCCCCAACCTCCCAGCCTGCCCAACAGTCTCCATCGCCCCTGGCCCTCCTGTGAGGCACCTCATCCTAATCCACAGTGCTGCACTAGGCCCCTCTAGTCCCCTCTACCTGCAGGGTTCCTTCACTCTCCCTCACTCTCACCACTCCCTCACATCCTGCTAATCTACCCCTTGATTAAATAGGTGAAATCAACATGGAAGCAATGGACTGTGCCAAAGCCAGTGTTTCCCAAGAGTCTTCTGGGGGTATGGGGACTAGGTGACATGAACAGCAGAAAGATGGGTGGCCTTTTCTTTTATAGAAAAGAAATCAAAATGTGTGTGAGTGAATGAGGGAGGGCAGAAGCTTGTGCTTAGCCCAGGGAAGCCAACTGGCACAGGCTTGCCTGCACCATCACAGGCGACTTGTGAATTGACACTAATTTATTTTTACCTCACACTAAGGTAATGCTTGATAAAACATTAATACTCAACTTTTAAAATTCTAGCACAATTCAATGCACATAATGGATGCTGAATAATGTTGAACAGTTTTACAATATTAAATGCAATGCTGTCTACTTTGTTAAATTTTCAGTTAGTACTGATACTGTAAAATCCAAATATGCATTAAATCCCATTTTCCTGAAAGTATAGCATCTAAAATGTTTATAGAAGAGTTGGTGAGATAGCTCAGTGCCTGTCAGATGAGTACAAGGTCCTGAGTTCAATTCCCGGTAACAAAAATAAAAAGTAAAATATTTGTGGAAGATCCTTGTTCACCTGCTTTGAATGTTTTTATTTTCCTTTGCCTTTGATGTCATTGGCTTGTGATGTCTGTTTTCATAAGTAATATTAGTGGAACATTCAGCTCTACCCCAACCATAAGAACTTCTCAGTTCTGCTTGGATTGTCTAGAGGCATCATTTGAAATGTTGGGCTGGAATTGGCTGGTGTGGCAGATACTGGACCTCAAGAAATCAAAGGACTTCTTATAAATCTCTTCCAAAACTGCAAATGATACAGCACTATTCAAATGCATGTGTACAGTGTCACAGAGGAAAGTGAGCTGAAATTGGCTGCTATATTTTCTATATGCATTTCAACAAAAGCCCATTTTTTGAATACTAATATTTGACAGCAAAATTAATTCTTATTAATTTGCTAGAATTGTTGTTAGTAATGCAAATAGATAATTATCCACAAGTAATATTTCACTATTAATGGTTTGAAATGGGTGATAAGCAAACCAATCTGAAATAAAATATGAACAAAGCCAGTCAGTTGTGGTGGCACATGTCTGTAATCTCAGCACTCAGGAGGCTGAGGCAGGAGGATCATTGTGAGTTCGAGACCAGCCTGGGCTACAAAGTGAGCTGGAGGTCAGCCTAAGCTGCATAGTGGGACCCTGTCTCAAAAAGACATAAATAAATAGTATAAATACATGCCATTGTATTAAAAAAGAGAAAAGAAATCACTTGGGAAATTTGCTTAAATTAAGTTAAATGAGTTGCCTTCCTTCAAAGATTTCTAAGATTTTGTAAGTAATACGTAATTAATTCTCCAAAGTGGAAGAGTTGTTCTAGAATGTAACATTTCCTACACTTCATTGACTTGGAAACCTCCTGATACTTTGCGTATCATCTACCATGACTAGTGTCTGGAAGAACACAGTGTAGGGGACCTTGCCCTAAACAAAGGCACAAGCATATGGCTTCTTCCATTGCCCATTTTCCTCCTCGCACAGAAGCCTGGTTAGTTTTATCCTAACCTTGAGGGAGCACATTTGAACTGGTCAAATGGGGAGAGAGATACAGATCAGTGCAGATTAATTAGTACAGTCCCAGCAGGATTCATGAGCGCCCAGGTAGAGGGTGCCGGGGAGGCCACATTAGGCAAGAACCTTTGGGTAGCCCTTAAATAGGCCCATACAATGTCCTATCTCTAGACACATAGCTTTGGGCAGACAAACCCAGCCTGTTGGTCTCTGCTTCTTTCAGGTGCCTTGGTAGAACTCTAGACTTGGTAGAACTCTAGACTTGCATCTTTCCCAAAGAGCTATAGGAGAAGTCAGTCAGAGGAGGGGTTAAGGAGATGACCTTAGGAGGGATAGCCACACCTTCAAGATGGACCTAAACAGTGTATATGGCCCTGAGCTGGGAGCCTCATCCTCACACCATGGAGAATGCAGCACACGTTCCTAGCTGCCATTAAGGAATCCAGGCCTCACAAGCTCCAACTCTCTAGAACCCCCAAGTGGTACTCCATAGCCTCATACCCATCCATCTTCTGTTCAGGAGGAGCAGGCCAACACTCAGCTGTCCAGGTGCCGGAGAGTCCAGCATGAGCTGGAGGAGGCCGAGGAGAGGGCGGACATCGCTGAGTCACAAGTCAACAAGCTCAGGGCCAAGAGCCGTGACGTGGGGAGCCAGGTAAGGGTGGATGGCTGGGGGTGGCTTCGTCCAAGAAGCCCTAAGATCCCAGGCTTTAGTGGACCATCCAGGGAAACCTGGGGGAGCCGATTCATTCCCTTGTCTCGGCTGCTGGCCTCTGCACTCACAGAATTTACTATTTAACAAGAACTCCCATGTCCCAGGCATTGAAGAGAATAAGCAACAAGGTGCGGGGGGATGGAGCTGGTGCTCGTGTTGCCGGCCAAGTGCCCTGCTCTTCAGAGGTCTTGTCCCATCTCCAGCAGCTCCACTGCTTCATTTTTCACAATGAGCTGAGAGAGCTAAAGCCACTCCTTAACATCATTTTTCTGAAGTTCCAGGCTTTCCATCTGTTCCACTTGAAGGCAATGCTCAGCCTCCTGTTGAGTTTGACTCATTTCCTGTGTACATTTTTTTTCTCCCACAGAAGATGGAAGAATGAGGCCTTCCTGAGTCTCCTCGCCATGAAGCACCTCCTGGAGAGTGCAGGGAAGTGTGTGAGAAATAAATTTTCCCAAATGCCTGGACTCCTGGCTCGGCTATGTTTGTTACCATGATTCAATCCTTTTCTGAGGGCCTGATTTGCAGATTCGTGCCTGCTGTACTGTAAATACTAAGAATATAAGAAATGTGAAAGTAGAGGCTTTTGCCTGCTTTAGCTACTTTTCTCCCTGCTGAGACAAAATATCCAGCATCCAGAGATGCATCTGAAAACCATCAGATTACTCCAAGATTAAAGGGTGAGAATCTAACCCTTTGCTAGTTAAATCACCAGTTTCCATGAACATTTAAAAATAACAACTAGGCCAGGTGTAATGGAGCAGGTCTGTAATCCCAGCACTTGGGGAGCTGTGGCAGGAGGACTGCAAGTTCAAGGCCAGCTTGGCTCTAAGTGTGAGCCCAGCATGGGCTATATTGTAAGATCAAGGCCAGGCTTGACAACATAGTGTTGTCTCAAAAACCAAAGAAACAAAATTGGCTAGGGTGTAGCTCGGCAGTAGAGTGCTTACTTTGCATGCACAAGGACCTGGTTTCTATTCCTAGCACCTTAAAAATAAAAAGTAAAAATAAACACCCTGTATCACCTTCAAGTTGGAATATCTATAACCAAAAAGACAAGATACAACATGTATTTGTGAGGATATGAAGAAAAGTTGTAGGGCCAGCCAATAGCTCAGTGGATTAAAGTGCCTTCAAGAAGATGCAAGGGCCAGGGTTCAATTCCCTGGCCTGACATGCTGGCCCCACCCCCAAGGTGTGCTGAGACGGCAATTGAGACTGGGTGTGGTGGCGCAAGCCTGTAATGCCAGCTCTTGAGAGGCTGTAAACAGGAAGATCACTAGGAGTCCAATCTAGTAGTGAACACCCTGCAGACCCTTCCTTAAAAATACAAAAAAAGAAATTAAAAAAAAAAAAGAAAAGTCGCTGGGCCAGTTAGATAGCTCAGCGGATTAGAGCCCCTGCTTAGGCAGACACGGGTGGGTGGTTAGATCCCCAGCCTGCCATGCTGCACCGCAACCCCTGGGCGCACTGAATTGGTGAACGAGACTGGGTGTGGTGGCACTTGCCTGTAATTCCAGTGCTTGGGAGGCTCAAAAACAGGAAGGACCACTCTAAGTCTATCTGGGTAGTAAGGCCCTGTAGGCCCTGTACTAAATACATAAAAAAGAATAGTTGTTGATGGAAAATAGTGGATAATATTTATTATTGGATAATATGTATTATCATTAAATGGATAATAGTTATTATGGAAACTATTATAGAGCTCCACGAAAAATTAAAAATAGTACAACCCAGCAGTCGCACTTCTCAGTGTATATGTGCAGGGTATATAATGACCTCATAGAGATATCCCCTCTCTCTGTTTATTACAGCTCTAGTCACAGTAGCCTAGATTTGGAAATGACCTAAGCGTCCGTTCACAGGTGAGTGGATAATGAATACCACGATGCGTACACGCTCGTGTAATGTAATGCCGGTTGGCCCTTAAGAGGGAAATCCTGCCCTTCATGAGAACATCGATGAACCTAAGGGCGCTATGCTAGGTGAAATAAGCTAGAGACAGAAAGACATAATCTCATACATAGAATTTGAGTGAGTCAAATTCATAGAAGAAGAGAGTCAGAAGGTAGCCAGTTGCTGCAGGCCAGGAGTTGGGGAAAATGCGGAAACGTTGGCCAAAGACTGTTAAGCTTCCCATTATGCACCATGAGCAATTTCTAGAAACACGATATGCAACATGGTCACTATGGTTAATGTACATGGGAGGTCCTAAGATCCATCCCCATCACCAAAAGTAAAATTGTACATCATAAATATATATAGCTACTATTTCTCAATTATTCCTCAACAAAATGAAAAACATGTATGGAGAAAGGACCATTTTGAGTAACTAACAATTATCTTCCTAGGAATTAATGATTCTTGCAAATTTAGTTTCCCATTTTCTCCTTAAATTTACAGATAGGGACAGTGGGCACGCAGAGAGGCTGAGCGCTTTGCCTGTCTAGGGCAGAGTGGGAAGTAGGCCTGGTGATCCCA